GTGACCCCCCCTACCCCTCTCCCGGCTGTCCCCCGGGGCCCCCGAGGCTCACCTGCCCTGCCTGGCACCCCCAGTCCGGGCCCGTGTCCTCCCGGGGCCCCGTGTCTTCCTGAGGCCCCCCGAGTCGGGAGCTCCCCACATCCGGGAGCCCCTGTGCTCATCCTGAGACCCCCTAGTTCAGAGCCCCAGTGTCCTCCCTCTGCCCTCCCGGTGCTCCCCCCAGTCTGACATCCCAGTGCTCCCCCCGAGCTTCCCCTGTCTGGGTCCTCAGTGTCCTCCCAGTGCCCTCTCCTGAGCCTGTCTCTCTGGAGTCCCAGTTCTCCCCTCCAGTGCTCACCCCGCTGCTCACCCCAGTCTTCCCAGCCTAGGGCCCCAGGGCCCTCACAATGCCCTTTCCTGAGCCCCCCAGCCTGGAGTCCCAGTCCCCTCTCTGTACTCCCCCAGGCTGGGGTCCCAGTGCTGTGTGTCCCCTCCTGACCCCTCTAGTCTGAGGCCTGAGACTGCAGGGTTCCTGCTGTTCCACAAGATGGGAACCTGGTTAGGAACCTCAGCACCCCCAGCGAGGAACCCCAGTCTGAAGCCTTAGTGTTCCTGGGGCCCTTGTGCCTTCCCTAAGAGGGATCACAGTGCCCTCATGCCCCCCCAATCCTCCAGTGCCAGGACCCCAGTGCTCCCCAGGCATCCCCCAGTGCCAGGCTCCAGCACCTCAGTTCTCTCCTGGGTCCCACATTGTGTCCCCAGGATAAAAGCCTGGTGTCCCCCATCAGGCACCCAGCTGCCCCCCAGCTCTGTGCTCTTCAGAGGGTACAGATTGGGTCCCAGTCTGCCCCCAGTTTGCCTTATGAGTCTGTTCCTGAGCAAGTTGGGAGAACTGAGGGGGCAGGCTGGGCACAGACTGGGGGAGGTGAGGCCCTTTGGGGGGCCCTGGGTGGGGAAGATGCCCCAGTGTGGCCTGGGGCAGGCAGCGTCTGCCTGGATCTGGGAAGAGAGAAGGCTTTTCCTCTTTCACTTTCCGCCCACGGAAAGCCCAGGGCGGGGGTTGGCTGTGTGCCCGGGGGGGCCCGGCAGGCTCCGGTGGGGCCTTGAGCCCCTTCCCCTGCCGGAAGGACCCTCTGGGGTGTGGGTTGGGGGCACAGCTCTCCCCTGCCATCGCTCACCCCCTTCCCACCCCCCTGCCGGGGGTCCTCGCACGGGCTCTGACCCCCCAGCCCCTACCCCACAGTGGGCACCGGGGTCCCCCCACTTGCCCTGGTCCCCCCACCCAGGGGTGCGTCCCCCGGGGGCTGTGGGGCTGGAGGGGAAGTGTGGGACGGAGAGGGAGGGGAGCTGCCAGGAAGAGGAACCATCCCACCACGGAGGGGCCGGGGCTGCCCCCCCCACAGTCCCCTGCTTCCCCCGTGCCTCAAACAGTTCCCAAAACTCCAGAGCGATCAGCTCCTCCTACTTACCCGCCCCCCCCCCCTTTTGGGACACCCCCTTATTTCTCTCC